TGATGCATACTAAAGATTACGCGTTCATATAACTCAGAACTACAAACATAACAGTAAATGCATTTTAGACTTCTGTGTTCTGACACTTTGTAATGGTAAACATGTAAGAATAATATTAATTTTATTAACAGTTAAATTTTGAGTTAAACTTCCTTTCCTATCGCTTCTTAATTTCAACTTACCACTTCCGGCCAGAACGCAGTTTTAGAATCAGGTTTGAATGCAAATGGAGAAGAAAGGTATTTAACCGCGAAGTACTACTGTCTTCGTCAGAGAGAACCAGAGATTCTGGCTAGCATGCTTCGCCTCTTTAGGCTATTCTCTCTTAAGCTATTATTACGCTCTGCCGTACGTTAGGCCCTTAATAGCTTCGCAGTCAATTAGCGTTAAGGGCCAACTCTGTTAGAATCTTGATAGTTTCGGCTATATCATTTTAGTTAAGACTAGTTAAGTTTTATATTTTTAGTTTTCTAAGTTGAAGCCCGAGTGTCGGCTTTATTGTACAACTCCAAGACGGAGTTCTGTTAAACTTTAATTGGAATAATAAAGGGTTATTTCACCCTTGTTGTTTTCTGCCTCACGAACTCAAGCATATATTCGCTTACTAGTTTTTAAGATTCTTCACATTCAACTGTAATTTAGAAGTACAAAGTACAGAATCTTTACAAACAAATTAGACAGTTGTCATTTAAAACTCAATTTACACTAACGTATGCAAAAATTAAAATGGCAAAAAAATTTCTAACATTTGCATAATCATTTTTAGCGAGTTTTTGAAATTTTATTAATTAAGTTGATCAAGAAATTTCGTTTAACTTTATAAATAAACTATTAAGGAAAAAAAAAAGATTAAAAAAAAATACTTGTAAATTTTTCTCCCTTTTTTAATTCTTTTTGCATTTATTGTACGGGATTAGACTTAGGCCTTTCCCAACTTTACCATCAAAGACATATAAAAAGTTATTGTTGTTGCTGCTTTAATTAATCTTACTTGTATAATATCAGGGCAAGCCCACGCAATTCATCGTGGCAAGAAGGCAAGATTGCGCGTGTCATTGGAACTTCACTGAACTTCACTTGCACACTTCACTGATGGCAGTATGTTCAGTTTCGCACTTAATTTTAAAGGAAGGCACCCAGAAGGGACAAGTCCGAGAGTTTCTCACCCTTCTTTCCCTACGACCAACCTCTCAAGAGTACTTTCGGCTCACCGCGTATTTAGAATACCCCCATGCCACATAGACGCTAAACATTTACAAGCATCCATGCTTTCTCCGGGATTCGAACCCAGGCCCTTCGTTACGGCAGTTAGAGACTTTGGACCCGGTCTCTGAGACCCGGTTGGAATTCAGAGAAAAAGGTTATGGTTTAAATAACATACGTAATTTTATATAGGATCGGATTGTGTAGCCCAGAAGCTTAAATGTTGCGGCACGTTCACCTTAATAACAACTTTAAAATGGAAAACAATGATGCTTTATATTGTACCATGGTAAAAATTAATCAAAAACTGAATGTATAGATATTCCTCTTCAATCATTTTTATCCATAAAGAATAGATGAAAGTAAAAACATAGCTAGCCACTAGTATTACGCAAACAAGATTCACTTAACCGCAGATACCTATGTCGTGATCTTGCCGCTGCAAAGAGAGTGAAACTGAGATCTGTAAAACACATTTCCCTGCACGACTCCTATGTTTAACTGGGTTAGTGCAAGGAAACGCCGCAGGGGGCGGGCTCGTTCGATCGTTCGCGAATTTGATACATCACTGCCATCGCGCAAGGTTAAAAAAACGAAGCTCATAAGAAGAGCTTTTAAGCATTGCTAAGACTTGTGAGGCTGATTAATAATTTTTTTCTCTTCACACTTCCTGGGGATAATTTTATTATTATTTGTTCCGTGGTTAATATCGATGTTTTAGCCGAAAGGCATATTATTAATCTTTGGATGGCGAAAGAGAGATATTAATCAACCGTGTTTATAAAAGGTGATTTGGACAAAATAGAGCTAGTCATCGGGTTAATGAGTAGGCATAAGGCGGTAACTTTTATTGATGCTTTATAGTTGACATGTAAAAGAGATTTAAGAACGTGAATGGAAGTAAATTATTTACAAATTACAAAAACAAAAAAATTCTCAATTTTTTCACTTTAAATTTCTCGTAAATTTTACATTTTAGACTTAAAAAAATTATTAACATGAAGAAATATCTTTCATTACGCTACTCTACAAAAAATTGTATTTTTACATTTTTACATCTGATACAACTACATATAACTCCCAAAGCAATAAAAGGTAATGAGAAAGTTTTTAAGGAACGGCATTGTCTGTCAATTATACAACTAATTAAATGATTTATATATACATAATAAAGTAATAGGAAAAAATATATATCCTAATTATCACTTTGTAATTTCACTTTTTGTCTTTAATTAAAGACATGCACTTCATAAACAGAGTACTTATCTGAATGTTACTGTTGTACAGTTATCCATAAAGTTTGGTTTTCTAATAATACATTTTAATTATCTTATTTACAAAAGATAAGTTTCTGGAGAATTTTCTGCTTATTTTACGTAATGATTCACGTATTTTAAAGAAAGCAAGTGTTCAGAAAAAACTGGAAAGTTATCATATGTAATTAAATATGTAAAATAATACTAATTTACTTTGCAAAAACCTTTGGAGAAGTTTATTTCAGTCATGATTCGTGTGCAAAATAATTTTTAAGATTCCACATTATTATTTATGTTGTTATATCTTTGTTCTTTTCAGTTTAGCTGAATAATAGGAAACAAATATGAAAATGAACAATAATATTTATCCGAAGATAGCCGAATATATTTTTTATGAATTTCAGCAAACGTTAAATTATATACATTTCTGTTTAATCTTCTTTTAAATACCTCGAAACAACAAAATTTCTCTTTGGTAATAGAAACGTTTGAAAAATTAAACTACATTTTAGATACATTTTCACACTTTGAAATTATAACACAGCTTTTTAAAAAACACTTCGTAATCGTAAAAAATACTCTGATTGACGCTATTCGAAGTACAATTATGTTATTTGTAAACCTGTTGGCATTTCATTTATAAAAACAAGATCTCTCCTTTTATAAATTCATTGTATTATGTTTGAAATGTTTTCTTGAAATCATAAGCAAATCCCTTAAACAAATGTATCGCCGTTGCTGCAAAGAGAGTAAGCAGAAATTAGCTATGCACAAGTAGCTTACGTTTCGAATGTCCGATAAGACATGGACATTTCTGATCGTAATATATTTAATAACTTATATACAATCCTTTTGAGAGATTGGTTGCACGAAAAGAGGATCGAAGTTCTTCGAAATCCTTGTGGTCTTTTGGTCTAAATTAGGGAGAAGTTAGGCAGTTGGCCTTAGCCTCTTAGCCTTAATAATATAAATCGGTACTGCTATTATATAAATTCTCTACTTACTTACTTTGAAAATTCTCTACTTTGGAACTAAATAAATTTTAAACACACCGACACCTTTGTGTAAGGTACACCGATATTCTCCACACCTTCGTATAAGTAAAATTCTGAGGTTATACTTCCACATTTGAAAAGGTTTGAAACTTTTATTACACATTACCAGTTTCGGTATTAAGATAACGAGCATTTACTTTTTTCAAAAAAGAAAAAATATATAAATTCTTTTTTAAGAAATAATATCTGTGGAATAAATACCATGCGAAACTAATAATTTCTTATGATATATTATTCTCTGTTTTCAAACGAATGCGTTCATCATACTTTCATCTTCATTTAGACACTAGTTTTACTATTTTTACATTTTATTCCTATAATGATCATATAAATATTTAACACTAAACGAATTGTGCATTTACTTAATATCTGCAAGAGCACCGTGAAACCTAAAATTTATCAAATATCAGAATATAACTACTGAAAACTTAAGAAATATTTTATAATACTATAGGATGACAAACTTGAATCTGAATCTCAAATTATGCTTTGAAAATTTGAGTATATAATACATAAATTTAAATATATGAATGCTTTCGAAGCAATTTTCAAAACACATTATTGATATTGGCAAACAACATCTTTCATTTGTGTGTGTATATATATAATATGTACAAATTTGTTATTATAAACGTTCTAACAATATACTTCAAGCACTTTTTCAAAATTTGTAAAACGTAACTAGCATCTTGCATTAGCTACCGAACTCAACCATCTAAAATTTCGCAAGAATTAATCAAAATACTCGAAATCTTTGCAATTTTCATATCTGTTGTATTCTAATTCTTCAGTAATACCTGCATCCTTGTATTTCACAAATTTTGAGATCAGCGCACATAAATTCAGTACTTATGCCAGAAATGTTTTATTACTACTGATCTTGAAACAATTTTGTGTTTTAATATTGAACATTTAGTCTCAAATTTATAAGCAGCATAGTCGATTAAATATGTATAAAAACTGGAAGTCTGCATATATATATATATATATATATATATACATCCTTTGATTGAGATTATAACATGCGTGGCTTTATTCTTGTTCCAAAATAATCTAATATTGAGATAAAACGTAAGTATTTATTATCTTGAATCATATATATTATTAAACATCTTAAAACGATTTAGTTTTATGCTAGTTTAGTGAGAGCTTATTTCTTCTAAAGGTCATTTAAAAGACAGAAATTCGCCAAAACAGAAGGTCAAAAATACTTGAATTTCACCCCCCCCTCTTCTGTCAAAAGACAAATGCACTCAGATATTTTTATCCATCACAAAGAATATCGAATTTCCATCTAAATACGTGAAGTATATCTAAGCCCTAAGGAAGGAGAAAGTTTTAAATCCGAGATGTGATAAGATGTGTAGGTTAACGATATGTAGCCGAAAGAGAAGTCCATGTTTGCAGTTACACCTTATAAGTCACGAACTACCTGAACAGTAGACGCCAAAGATTACGGGAGAGTAAGAAAAAGACTTCCTCTTACCTATTCGGTTTCTCTTTCCGTCTTAAGTTTTGCAGTCCACTAAACAAACCTCTGGCACGCTTTTACGGAAGCCCCACTCCTACTTAGCTATTGCAGTGAAGAGAAGTCGAATGTCCTCTTGGGCATCTGTGAAGAAGTACTCTCTCTCTCTTTCGAGCCGTGACCCGTCGGACCGGCTGCCACCTCTCACTTTTGATAGGCCGGTTTACCTTTTCACGTCACTATCTGCAACCCACTTAGATGCTGAACCCCGTCTTCTCTTGAAAGAGAGGGAAAAAGGAATACTATCGCAAAACGCAACACTTTCAAAAAGCTCGTAGAAAGTGAAAACGGGCGGTGGACGCGCTGGTTTTTATATAGCCCAGCATGGGACGGGCGGTTGGGGAAAAATATTTCTCGTGACGTCACACTAATTGTGACGTCAGTGAATTCTTGGACTATGTGGAAATCTATTGCAGATGGATGAGAAGAACAGGATTATGAGTTTTATGATCCTTCCCCTTATTCAGAAATGGAGGGAAATTCACAAAAACATTTCCCTTTGTAAACACTGATAAATTTATCGCTGGCATTATCAAATGTAATGATAATGGAACATATTAAAGGAATAATATATATTAAAAGGTATAAACCCTGAAATCGGTATAATCAAATTGTTGTATGTCCCGAAATATTTCGTGTTATCAGCGTTAACCAAATATTTGGAATTTAATAGTGTTATTTATGATACCTAAGTTAATACAATATGTGTAAGTACAGTATACCGGAAGGTCTTCATATCGCAAAGAGGGAGGATTTCTTCATTTCAAATGATAATTTCGAATTCAGTGTGAATGCGGCAAAACTGTATTTCCTTGGAATACTGCGTCCGTCCATCATTGTGTAATGATTTTCTTTTGCAGAATTATTATCTTCACTTGCCATATTCAGTTTATAATTTTTGATATGCAGTTGAATATTTTCCATACCTTGTTTTATATTCTTTTTTTATTCTCGTATAATTCTTATTATTTACTAATATCTTAATAATTTTTGTGGAGCCTGTGATAAAGCTTCTCAGACAAAAAATCTTAATATATACTTCTCTACTTTTATTTATGCATGGGCAGGTACTGAGAACAAGAGTTCTGTAATGGGAGTATATGGTATAATTTTGAACGTTTTTACGACGTATTCACAGAGGCTAAGCATGCAGTATAACATAATTATTTGTCCACATAAAATTAAAAATAATTACTTCAATAAACGTAAGAAAACGTTTCTATTAAGATATTTACTGGTGAAAAAGTCTTAAATAAAATAATTTCTTGATCTTTTAAGTTTCCTAATGTTTTATATCATATTAAAGTGACAAGTAATAAAATGATGATTAAAAATTATCATCATTTTGAATCTAATGTTAACATTTTTCTATCTTCGAGATTCTAAAAATTGTTAATGATTATAATTACCGTATTTTCCGGCGTATAACGCGCATCTATAATTTCAATCTATAGTTTCTCATTTTGAGGTATATACACCGTATAACGCACGCGAACTCTATATGCACGAAGAAACCTAAAAGTTACATGTGCAGTGCTCTTATCTTTTGAGGCTATTTATTAGAAGATTTGCCCTAACCTTTCGAACAATGGTATACCGAGTTGACAAACGATAAGGGGAACAGTATGTGTCTGAATTAAATGATTGAGGGAGTAAATTTTTCTGCAAAGAGAGCGGATTGTATTGAATGCAAGTGTAGGGTTTCGAGAAAAGGGGGCTATAATTTAGAGAAAGAATACACTTTAATTTAGAGAAAGAATTCGCGGAATTAGGATTCATATTTTTTTCGCTTTCTGTAGTTATTTGAAACCGTGATTTTGAAGTGAACATCGAAGGTTTTAGTTGAAATACAGTTAGTTGATCTAGTGTTTCTTTTAGTAGTAAATATGATTCCTGCCAAACAAAACAACACAGTGCTGGTTTCAAATGCAAAGCCATTCAGTTTGCGAAATAAATTGGAAATCTTGCTGAAACAAGCATGTTTGATATTACCGAAAGATGGAGCCGATGATAATTATTTACTTATGGATCAGAGTAACAATGACGGTGAATATGAAACAGAAATTTATGATGTGCCTGAAAATATAACATAAGACGAACATGAGGAACTTTTCATGTTATCTGATAAGGAAATGTTTTTAAGTTCAAAAGGTATGTCATTTCTTTAAATAAAATGAATAAATACGGTACACGTAAAATTGTAACGGTGATTTTTTCCCTATTTTTAGTCTTTCACTTTTATATCTGGCGTATAAAGAGCGCACCCATAAGTTTCGATCATATTGTTGGCGTTAAATGTGCGCATTTATACGCCGGAATATACGGTAAGTTTATTTCATCAAACTGAGGACCGTTTCATCAGGCTTTAAATGTTAAAAAAAATGGAATCTTGGGACAAAACTGGGCAATCTTTTATTGCATTCTATTACATTTGCATGCGCAGATACTTCTCAGCGTACTATCTAGTTACATTCTGCGAGCTCATTGCAAGTCATATAATACACCCAGACTTACCTAGCGAGCTATATAAGCCTTTTTCATTAAATACTTTATTTAATTTATTAAATCTTATTTGAAAAAAAAAGGAAATCATGTGGTTGTATGCGATTTCGCAGTTAAGGCATGCCTAAAACCAGTTCGAGTCAAAATTATGTTTAGGTGAAAGTACCGCTTTTAAGAATTAAAGTTACATTGATTGCTGGTTTAGGTTGGAACTACATTAACGAAACAAAATGTTTCACACTTCTGAGGCGTTTATCTCAAAATTTGGATACTTGCAGATAAAGTCATCGACCTTTGCTGAGAGTTTATCGGGATGGCATTCTTCAGGAATGTGTCAAGTTCTGACTATAACAATATGTAGAATTTGATGTATAATTCAAATCAAATTACATTTTGTTTATTATTACTCCAAAGAGGCAATTTGCCCTGAAGGACTATTAATTTCGTTTTGGCATTTTGCGTTGAAAACTATAAACGGTGAATCACTTTTAAAATTGTTGCCACCAAATATTATCGCCCTGTATTATATTTAAAGACATTAAATAATGAAGAATCTGCATGAATGTATATATGCATTTTTCTAGCATTGTGATAAAACGACGGTACCTAGAACCATCAAAATTTGAATAACGTAATCTTGTAGAGACATTAAGTTATTTTAAAGCAGGAAAGATGAAAAAAATGAGCAATGACCTTGCCGGGACTCGAACCACAGACCTCTCGAAATCGCGTCGAGCGTGCTCACCACTACACCATGAAGGCTGGCTAAGAAGGCGGGAGAAATACTTTATATACTCCCCCTTTTAAAGGGAAGTTGGGAGTTTAAAGGACCCAATCGCCAAATCCTGGTGGTGAAGAATCATCATTCAGCACTTTTTAGTTCGGGCGACACTGTAGAGACATTTGGTTATTTTAAAGCTGGAGAGATGAAAAATGAGCAATACCTTTGTCGGGGCTCGAACCGCGGACCTCTCGAAATCGCGTCCAGCGTGCTGACCACTACACCACAAAGGCATGTTAAGAAGGCGGAAGAAGTACATTATAATCTTCCATACAATATGGGCATGTGGAAGCCCTAATTTGAATTTGAAATTTATTTTATTACCGATTTCATATTTTGTAACATTTCATAAAGTTTTGATTAAAAAACTTAACGATTTCAAAGCGAGCAATGGCAACACTGTGCGAAAAATAAACATTTTATCTCCAGCGCGCGAGACTCTGTATCGGAAATACTAAAAATATGCTCATTTGAAAATTATTTTGTGATATTGCTGTTGAACTGAATTTTATGGTTTGCGTACGTAGAACATGATATTTAATAAATAAAAGTAACACACAAAATGTTAAAAAACGCTCCTTTGGACGTAATTTAAAATCTGAAACCTTTCAGATTTATTATTATTTTTTTATATTATACGTTTTTCAACAGCAAACTAAAACATCGCATATCTTTTGACAGCACCTGCTCGTATATCCTGCATATACCGTACCATACATACATTGTTGCCGGAGAAAAAGTGAAAATCCAAAATACGAAATACGATATCTATTATGCCTATCATTTTTACGGTATCGATAAGACGAAATCTAATGAAGATTTATTATCTAAGGCTTATCATCTAAGTTTGATAAGCCTTAGATGATAAATAATTGATTAGATGATGAAAATTATAAGGCTGTTAGATGATGTATTCATCTCTAGAAAATTATAAGGTTCTTCATTAGCTTATCATCTAAGGCTTATCACCGAAGGCTCTTCATCATCTTATCATCTAAGGCTATCTCCGTCTTATCATCTAAGGCTATCTTCATCTTATCATACAAGGCTGACTTGTGTATGGCTTATTTGATGGTAAAAAAAGTAATCTTAGACATATAGGAGTCAAATGAAATTCCAGATTCCGTTTGACATTTGTGTTATTAGCTACACCTTCATTATGAACTCAGAAAATTTAATTCATCCTTTTACCTATATATACAATAATTGGTATTAGGTAGGATATAAATATACACAAATAACATTGCGATTTAACAAGTTTTTCGTGACTGCAAACTGAAATAGCGTGCTGAAAGTTGTAATGCCGTAACAGCTGTTTAACAAACGCGTTTAATTTTAATTTTTGATTTATTCAGGCTTGTTCGAATAGAAAATAAATGCTTTAAACAGACTCCATTAATTTTGATAAGGATAAAAAGTGAAAATTTGTACGACATAAACATTCTTCACATTCACACATAAATCATTCTTGATTGATTAACGGCTTTGGTAAATCTGGCAATGGATTTAAAAGTTTTCAGATTTTTGTGAATAAAGAAACAATAGCTGATGTTAATGGCAACATTGTCGTTTTCCAGTAATAGTTTCTGCCTTTAATAGAAAATTCGAAGCAAAACCAAAGTGCTAGAATGAGTTCAGAAAATGATCAGAAAAAGAAATATTGCTCTTATTAAAGAAATATATCATAAAAGATATAAAAGTATGCGATATTCTAAATACAATATGCAGCTTTTCTAACTAAGCTGCGTCAGAAAATTTAAATTGAGTGGCAGTGCTTTATACTCCCTATTTTAACAAAAATAAAAACCGAAGCTTCTACTTACATAAAAGTAATCTTTCTATTTCGAACTTAACTTGTTGAACCGAACGAATCAGATACGTTGGTGGCGTTATTGCTGTTTAAACTGCACTTTTTTTGCCGCACACTGCTTACAAAATGCTGTCCTTTAACTGCCACTTGAAGCGCTTAATTTTCCTCCAGCTGAAAAATC